TCAGGATATTTACAGTCTATGTCGATTAATCGGATTTTCTAACAACTCCAGATGAATAGTTCCCAGAACTAATGCTTGTCAACTAATCAATTCATTATCCTTTTAGGGTATTTACTTTTTAATACAAAAAAATTCTTATTCATAGATCATTTTCGGAATCATCGCTGAATAGATCTTAAAGAAACTAACAGATATACCAATGTTCTTAATTTTATTTCCACGCTTCCACGATATCATGAAATGCTGTCGTGCTTGATTTGTAGTTCATGACCCATAAGAATATTACATCATGTATGTTCATTAACGTTTTCAGACTCATCCAAATCACTTATTTAATCCATAGTCATTGAGGTTACTTATTTCACTTAGCAGTCAAGTCCATTTCAGATACTTCGGGGTTTTTTTAAGGTAATTCAGACGTTTCTGAATTTCGGATACATATTGTACTTCCGTTCAATTCAATTTGGTCTTCGTGGTTGATTTGTCTAACAAATATCAAATTCTTACTGTTGAATGCGGTCTAGAGTTTAGCTGAGCTGAATACTTCTAAAATTATCATCGAGCAAAACTTGATAATACAAACACGCATTCAAGTGACATCTATGTCGTTCAGGTACTGATATAACACTAGCATTAGTTGCTCGGCTTAATATGTGATCTGTAACTTTTAAGAGCAGTACCACATCCATGTTTATTTGGATTCCTTAATTAATCCAAGACATTTCCTTAGTATAGGCTATAAGGGTATTTTGGTCATTTTGGTGTTCAGTTTATTCCAATCATTACAGAGCTCAAGGATATCTAATCATTCCTGAGCTTGGTAATATTATTGAGTCATTTCCATTACAAGGGTATTTTGATAATTATACAGATTCAGTGTAATTTAATCACTTCCTTCCGTCCGATCTTACTATTAAATTCAATCTTATCATTTATTTCAGTCCTTTCGAACAATTCTGACAACAGAACAACCCCGACAAATTGTTCTGTAGGTATTTACTCATAACTCGGATATTTCCGAGTCAAGTGCCTTCTCAGATTTTACAAACGGAATATCAGGAAATTTTCTTGCACTAAATCAGGATCTTAATAATCAAATCCATACTTAATTGAGTTAAGTATGAATCCTCTAAGTATTTTCTCATTCAGGGTTAACTCATAATATTTTACCTCTTAAGGGCATTTTCGTAATTTCTTAACCAGATAATTTCGATATTAGCTTTTAACGAAAATAATTATAATTTAGAGATCCTATGATTAATTGCTTTCCCGAACATTCTCTGATCTTGAAATTATTCTTTAACAAACTTCTAATATATTGCACAAACCCTTTTTAGTGATAAAAACCAGTTATCCAAATTTTCTAAACAAAACTATCATTTCTTATGCATATCTGTAATTATATCAGATCAATATGTCCTTTCAGAGTTATTAACCAACTTCCAGGGATAATTTTTGACATCTTACAACATAAGGGTATTTTCGTAATTTTACCCTACCAAAATATTCTCATAATTTCTCATCCAAGTACCTTTAACATTTAACCTTTGATGATATAAAATATAAGTTATAAATCCAGGGTTGATTTCTTTATCACTAATCACAAACTTGTAAATTTAATTCTAACAATTCCTCAATCTCTTATAATAATCATCTGAGCCATATTCAGTTACCTATTTGCTACTGTATTCGTATAAAATGTAGATCTTCATTAATTGCACATATGAGACCAAACATTTCCATTCATGCATTTACCAATACAAACATGTTCTATAAAGCATAAAGGGGTAGTAAAGTATTACCTCGATTTTCGTGCAATACTGATCGACCATAAAATTCCATTCGAACGCCCTCGATCTTGAAATCATCTTCCAATATTTCCTTGGATTCATACAAACAGAAATTACATAAAAAAACGGAGCTTAATTATGAAAAACGGATCGAATTGGATGATAAATCAGTGAAAAACAGCTTATCGGGTTAGAATTTGGCAAAACGGACTTCGTATTCTGATTCAAGACTTCGAAAGCATAAAATATGACTTTTCAAAAATTTGGAATTTTCGGTCAAAATCAAAGTCAACGGGTTTGACTGGTAATTTCGAGGCATTCGGGTCCGAATTTCAAAAAACGGATTGCGGAATCGGATTTGGAACATCGAAAAATGTCAGGATAGGTATACTCGGTCAAAGTCAAAGGTCGTTTAATGCCCGGTCAAAGTTTTGGTCAACAGTGGTCAATGCCGGTCAACGGTCAACGGGTCGGGTCGGGTTATAATCGGTTAAACCGGTCAAAATAGGAGCAAAGCCTATCAAACCGGTCATTTTTTTCTTCCCCACGCGCAGTGGAGGTGCGTGGGGGCACGTGGGGCCCCTTCCGGCTGCCTAAAAATCACGGAAAAATTCTTAAAAATTATTTTGAGCGATTCCGAGATACTTACAAAGCTCGGTTCACAATTTTGAACGGCGGAGAGCTCGATTTCAACAAATCGAAAACTTTGACCGCTTCACCTCCTCACGCGCTACCGTTGACGGAGACCAAGGATGACACCGGCAGACTCGGAACGATGCAAGGAACACGATGGTGCGGGAGGTGTCGTAAACGGATCATCGGATCGTCGTGAATCGATGAAAAACCAACTGAAATTGGGTTATTACCGACGATACTTCCGACTAAAATTAACGACGAACGGCGACGATTCATGACGAAAGGTTTGAGGGGTTTTCTTCCTCGCTCGACAACGAACATGATAGTGGTTTCAGCTCGTCAATCGGAGGTCGGACGGCGAATAGATTAGAGTTGAAAGTTGTTGATCGGGAAAGAAATTATGAGTGTATTTTTAAAGAAATACACTGGGAAATGAGGTTTATATTAACTCCTAAAGAAAAATAGTGAGTTTATTCACTGAATTTCTTACACTTCTTAAAATGGTCTGTCAACTTTGAAATTTTACAATTTAATTCATTATTTCTTTTAAAATACCTATTAAATCTACCACTTTATAATTTCTTAAATTTAACCCTTAAATTGGGGTGTTACAGTTATGGCATTTGTCTAAAACAGGACGAAGTTGGGATGTTGATTGCTTTGAAAGATGGAACCTGTTGGAAAGTGAAGCTGCTAACTTTGAAAGATATTCTTTATACATCAAAACAATTTTAACTCTCAAATCAAACTAAATAATATATTTACATAAGCCAACTCACTTTCAACAATGTATTTGTATTTTCTGCTTCACAAGTTAAGATTTGATTTGCTTGAATTTGTTTGTTTTTTCTATTAAAGGATTCAATTTTTTAAGTTCAGTCGTTCCATTAAAGGTATATTCGTACTAATATATATCATATAAAAAATTAAATTTATAATAATATAATGTAAATATTAAAATATGTGTTAAAGTGTTCGTATGTAAAAGAATAATTTTTTATATAATTATATATTTTAGCATTATTTTATTTATTTATTAATGTATTCTTTTTAAAAAAAATAATTTGACATACATTAGATTTTATTTTATTATACTAATTACACGGGTAAAAGAAAATAATTTATATAAATATATATTCATAAAATTTAATTTATTGAATGTTTTTTATTAGTAATAATAATTAATTTATTGAATAAATAAAAATATAATTTTTTTACAATCTCGAAAAAGAAAAGCTTACAAATTCTAAATTAAAGAATTATATTAACCAACCATTTCTACAAAAATTGTCAAAAAGCACAAACTAATTGCAATAAAAAAAGGATCACGTGAGGAAAAATTTAGAAATTCAACCAAAATTTAAAAAAATAAACAAATATCATTTTTTATAACGAAGATAAACACCATTAACACTAACATAAAAATAAAATAATGATGATTCATAGATAAAATGACTTTATCACAATATAGATGTGATGTAGTTTCTTATAAAAAAAATGACGTGATTGAGATAGTTATGAACACATATTAATACGAGAGAACCAACTTTAAGGTTAACAACAAATATAGATCAACAAGATAACTAAATAAACAAAAGACAACAATGAATTAAGCCCTAAAAAAGAATTGTTATAAAAGAAAACAAAAACTATATACTATATTCATAAGAAAATAAAAAATATATAAATAAAATAATAAAACTCAAATATATAAATACAAAAACTAGAAAGCTAAAAAAGAAAAAAATTAGATAAATATGACATAATATTAAATGATATAATGGGAATAGTAGTTTGAGTTAAAGACGGACAATGTCGCCTTTTAGAGCAAACAATGTAAAAAAAAAAAACTCTTAATTAAAAGAAATCCTAATTCAATGAATAATTATAAATGAAGTAATGAAAGACTTGTAAGTAAATTCATCTATTATACGTTATATTAACAAATATTAATTCTTAGTTATAATAAAATGAAAAATTCTCATAAAAATAATTATCTTTTAATATATTTTTAATTAAATTAATATAAATTTAACTTATAATTTTAAAATAATATAAATTATTAATATTAGAATGGATGGGACAAAAAATTATGTACAAATGGACAAGCCAGTTGTTAAATATATATTTTGGGAATTGTTGAACATACATGTCTAGATCTACAACAGCTCGGAACCGAATCTAATTTACTAATTTAAAAATGGAGCTTTGTAGGCTTAAAGGCACCAAATGACTAAACTGAAGTAAAAGACAGATTGACGATATAAAGTAACCACCATAAATATGCCGCAAAACCCGGAATCCTAACCACAGTTAAGCTGTGGGTGTTTGCTATATAAGCCGAAAAAGGATCCCTCATCAGCCATTGCCAAAAAACTTAAATTTTTCTATTATGTTAAGAACCCAGTTTTCTTTTCTCTATGCTTCATCCATACCATTGAAAGAAAAGTTAAAGTTTAGCTCTTGGGACATTTACTGATCATTTTTGTGCAAGTTTCTTTGTGTAATGAAGCCAGTGATGGATAGTAATTTAACTTTGTGGGTTTCTTTTTGTATTGTGGATGAATATGCTAGATCTTGGTAGTGGAAGAAAAGCTTAACCCATCTTCCTTATCAATGTTTGTACTAATTATTTATTCTTAAGTCATTTAAAAAATATGGAACCTCAGGACCATCCTGGTTCTTTTTGCAGGTTACCTGGGTCATCACTTGTTGTTTGAAGGTGCCCCCCCTCTCTGCTTTTAGGGTAATTTCCAAAATCATTTGTAGTGATCTTCCACCTCTTTTAAGTTTGGTTCTTGTATCTTCATTTGAGTTGTGGAATCAATGATTTAATGATTTTCCTTTTTGGTTTGAATAATTTGATGACTTTTGCATTGATTGCCATCTTTGTATGGTGTTCTAATGTTTGTTTATATGTTTTCCAGGTCATATATGTTAACAAAAGAGCGCCATCATTTCCATCCCTTCTTGATTAGTTCCTTGGCTATTGATTAACCTTGAATAACTCGAATTGCACGTCTCCTTTTCTATTTTGCATAAAAAAAATTCTAGCTTGATACAAAAAATGGGTCTCTCAAGTCTCCCAACTCCATCAGAAGGAGTGCTATGTATACTCTTGGTGAACACAGCTTTATCCATATCTATAGTTAAAGGCATAATCCGTTCGATCCTTCACATTGTCGGTATCCATCTCTCGTCGTCATCCTCCTCCTCAGATTCTGCTGAAAATCTGTCGGAACCTTTTGAGTTCCACCTCAATACTCCTGATAGTTACATTGAGGAGTTTCGGAGTAAGACCCCGGCGATACAGTTTGATGCTGTGTATAGCTGCAAGCGGCCACAGCATGACTGTTTGGTTTGCCTGACTCAGTTCGAGCCGAAATCGGAGATCAACCACTTGTCTTGTGGCCATCTCTTTCACAAGGCGTGCTTGGAAAAGTGGTTGAATTATTGGAATGTTACATGCCCTAAATGCAGGAATCCTCTGCTGCCTGAAGGTGAGGCTTCCTGCTTTTGGTGAGAAGGATATTACTAGACATGCAGAGTTAAGGTAACATCTGTGTACAGCATGTTTAGTATACATGCAGTATATAAATTACTGCTATCATCGTAGGTTTCGAGTTAAGCAAGTGTTAATTGTTACTCGCGAGTTTACCTTGATGTGGTGATATGAAGTGTTGCTGAATCGATGCCCTATATTGTCAGGGTTTCTGATGTTACATGCAGTCTCTATAGTTCATGGAGATTTTGTTCTCTTTATTACAGCCTTGTTCATGGAGATTGAGAAGGTTATCCAACGTCATGTCTGCAACAATAACAGCCATACAAATACTGCACGCTTCTCTGCTTGTACTACAAAATATGAACTCTGATTTTGTCTCTATATTATCAAAACATCTGTTCCCAACTCTCATGAGCACCACCTGCGGGTTTGGCATTAACTCGATTTTAATTTTCATGACAGACATTTGAAGCAGATTCATGTCGAGTAACATCAAGGTGGTGTCGAGTTTTTGACCTGAGTTTTTACAAAGCTGCATCCATAAACCACACCAGAGAGGTTAACTTGAAGACATCACCATCGAAATGAATGTTTCCATGTGGCCCCTGTTCTTTGATGATCATTCATGTATTTTCTTGACATTTTCTTATGACCTAAAAGCCCTTACAATGGACTAAATCTACTTATTAAGGCAAAACAGTAGTACCCGGATCAATAAAAATGCAAGAATCAGTAAAAATATTAACGCTCCGGATCAGGGTTCATAGATCATCAAACTCAAAATGCAGCGAGTGATTAGTGAACTTGCCTTTTTGAAGATGAAGCTAAATCAGAAGAGAAAATCAATGAAAATTTACAATTATTATGGCTAATAATATTATATCAGAATAAAATTAATTGGTACAAAGCATAATTAGACAAAAAATTATATTGTTTTGATCAATTATGTTAGGTTCAAATGCACTTACACACCTACTAATTTCTGATTTAAAGGCCCAAGATTTCTGCATTGTATACAAAAAATTAACATGATACATGAAGTTGTAGCATTGTATTGTAGTATTCTCATTGCACACAAACCACCGAAGAGTAAGTTCATCCATAAGGAAAGAATGATAACATAGTTAAAAAAAAGCTAAAAATAAGGATTTACAACTACTAATTACTTTTACAGGATAATAAGTTAACTGACGTTGATTCAAGGTTCAAGGGCATGGCTAAAATGAAGTAGCAAATCTTACAAATTTACCGACAAAGCATCTTGCTTCAATAAATAACATGCCATCTGGAATTCCTTATGGATTTGTTCTGAAACTGCGGCCCTCGTTTGACTGTGAGTCTGCCTTAGAGGGGATATTGTATCCCTGGAGAAGATCGCGGATCTTGGAATAGGCCAACATCTGTGAAGGATCGCCTCCAATACTGCTCTGTGATGCACGTGAGCTCTCCTGCAGCTTTATCTTTTCAAACAAATACTTCTTCTCAGCCTCTGCCTCGCTCAAGCGAAGTTTGAGGTAACTGCTAGTATACTCTTCTTCTGATTTATCAGACTTGGCAAGTGCAATACTCTGAAGCCTCTCAGCCTCTTGTTTTGCTTCATTGGCCTTGAGCTGGAACATATCAGCCTCTGCGTGTTTAAGCCTTACAATTTTCTCCAGCTCTTCTATCTGCAACTTCTTTTTCTCCCTCTCCAGCTTCAGTTCTGCCACTTCTTTGGCTTTGTCCTTGAGCTCCCGCTCACAAGCATCAAGGGCCATGCGAGCTTTCTTGAACATCCTCAACTTCTCATCAGCCACCATTTCCATCTTCCTTATGGCCTCTTGCACTACATCCGCAATTTGATTGCATGCCTCTTGGGGTGCTACCAACCCACCACCTTCCCCATTTTCCAGGCTTGTTGAAGATTCCATATCAAGCTCTATAGAGAGGTATAACAATGAATTTTTAGAGGAAAAAAATTTGACAAGGGCAAGCAGAATTTCAGCAAGAATAGCACATATCAAATTTGCAGAACACTTACATGGACCAGAAAATTAATTGAAACCAAGTCGACAGAAAGCCAGATGGAAAAAAACACAGCATGCACTGTATAGAAACCATTATAAATCATTCATTTCAAATAACTTTCACAATCTAGTTCTAGCTGCCATCAGGCTCTGATCAAATCCTAGTTAGGACTGGTTTCTTTTGTTTTGGACCTTAAATCATGCTCACCATTGGCAATGCAGGGTTACCATACGGTTGATGAAGAAATGATTATGGCAACTAAGCGGGGCTTCCCTACTTTTGGAATTAAGTGTGAAAAATAATTCTCATGTTCATTAAATTCCATTGAAAGAAAAAAATGCATAACTGAGCATAGAACTTTCATTCCCACACATTTTTCACCGATAACTTGCAAGATAAAATAATTAGCACATGTTTTACCTTGGAAAAATATTAATATTGATCTGCAAGCTGTCGACCCTGCTAGTCCACCTCTCATTTTTTCTATAAGATCCTCACACTTTGAAAAGAGTTTCTTCCCTCTGGGGTCATCACTTCCACGAAAAATCCTACAAACAAAATCAAGTTCTCTCATGAGAGCCTCCCTATCCCAGGCTGGAGCACAATGTTGGAAGACATCTTTAACCCAACCCAACAGCTCAGATGTTCCATTGCAAGCTCGGCAGCGGAAAACCATTTCAGTAGGATCAGCTCCACTCTTAGCATAAGGACCCATACAAATTTGACCATCACGAATGGCACAATCTGTATGAGTCCAATGGGAACAAAAATCGCAACCAATCCAGCGGCAGGTATTTACTTCAAAATCAAACTTGTTACAGATAACACACATACAAAGATTGCAAAATCCATTCCTGTTGGCACATATTTCACAGGCGCAATCATCTGCGGGTAGCTGGTTTTGGCATGCAATATTTCTGCATCTTTTGTACACAAAAACCTCAATGAGAGAGGTTTGGGATAGACTGATGTTTGGATGCAAGAATGCCTGAATTCCCATATTTATTGCAACAAGGATCTCAAGTTGTGCCCGGTGTGCTCTAATCAATGTTTTTGCTGTTAAATCAGATCTGCTTTGAACAAACTTCTGAAGAATCAAAAATTCCTCTCGCCTTTCTGAACCACCATTACCTTCTAGAATAGTCTTGAGTTGATTCTTTAGCTCATCTAGAAACACATCAGGTAGGTGATGCATCTTTTCAGAGATAACATCGACTCTTTCTCTTGCAATGTCTCGAAGAGTTATCTTATCAGCACTAGAAACATGGAGAGTAACAGACTGCTTGGTGCCATCATTTTCAGTTTTCACATTTACCATCTTCTTTGCTGTGGCAGCATCAGCAGTAAGAGTCTCTCGAGAGGTAGCACTCTCAGTAGGAGACTCGTGGATATTATCTGAGTTAAATCTGGGCTCTTGGGCATTAGGAAATAGGTGAGGATCTGAGGAGACCAAGGACAATGAAGTCTGTAAGCTCCCTGGTTGTTGTTGTTGACGTGGGGGCAACACCCTCGACATATGCTGGTGGTTAATATTAGAACCAGATGATGTTCCCATCAATGAAGTCCCAGTTTCTCTGCAAATAAAAGCAACTCTAATGCATCATCACTCATGATCCAGCACAACTAAACTTGAGCTTCTTTATAAAATAAAAAAAATGTTCCTCGTTGATTTTTGCTATTTTCCTTTTTACCCCTTCAAGAGTTGCTTTAAAAATAAAACAAACAAGTCAAAACAAATAAACAATGTCTTATTTGTTCAAAATGAAGACTTGATTAACAATTTAAAAAGTGATTCTATTCCAAAAGAATTGCTCCATGTAAAACTAAGATCATACATTTCAGCAGAAAAGACCACATAAAAACATTTCTCTGTACTATGGGTAAGGGATTCTCTGGTGTCAATCAATATCGATATCCAAGCACTGCCTTTACAAACCTACCCAAAATTTGTTCCTTCAAACAAAAATCTTCTGATCTCGTACCATCAATCATACTATACAGATGGTCAAAACCCTAATCTGAGTCAACCCCCAGCTAGAAAACAACAATTCGAAATTCAATCAACAAAGAAAGCCTTAAATTATTGAGAAGCCTGAAAGTACGACCACCAACCATCTTATTTCGTGAATCAAACAAGGAAGAGAAATCAAAACTAGAAACTCGTGAAAGAAAACCCTGTAACTTAAAAGAGTGCAAATGAAGAAAAGATAATACCTTTAACAGAGACCGGAGGAAAGGTCCGACCGGAAAAGAGCGGAGGAGAGATCAGATTGACCAAAGTCAAGAGTGCTGCTGGAGGAAATGGTGGGGAATTTGTATTTATGTACTTCTTTGATTCAAAGGGTTATATGATTGCTTCCTTATCTTGTAACGCTGCTCACGTTGAATCCTGGATGCCTACTTTCAACGAACGACAAAGTCAAATTAAAAATAAAATAAGTGTAAACTACCTCATATACAATTGAACTTTAAGTCTAGTATTGTTTATACCATTAAATTTTTAATTTTTAAAGTTATAATATTAAACTTTGGTTTTACCTTTAATTGTGTCATTGGGCGTTAAATTTGAATAGTAAGATGACATAGATGGATCTTTTCAACACTATGATGTTAATAAAATGACATCGTTTTGAAAATAATTATTTTTTTCGTTTTAAGCACTGAATTTTATGAGTGTATCAATTTTGTCATTAAATTTTTAATTGATTTTATTTTTTGAAATTGTATCGTCGTCAACAGTCAATCAATCCCGTCACCAATCATATTTTGTGACAAGGTCAGTACCAAAAGGTTTGTATTTCACTCATCTTTCTTCTCTTAACATTAATTTTTCACGAAGTTCACTCAAAATCAACAACAAAAAAGCTATTTAAAATTTCGACGTGCTAGTATCTAATATCTTCTGATGATCATCTGATGAATCTAGTTTTGAAGTATGTTGTTTGTCTTCTCAATATGATACTTCTCGCTATTCGAATTTTCGATCAAATACCCAAAATCCCTCAAATCTAAGAAAGTAATTAAACCCCTAAAAAATATAAAATAAGAAGCACACACACTAACATCGATATGATAAGACGAAGCTTCTTAAAGAAACCATATATCTTGAGCCCATCCTAGTGATAAACCACCACACGAACCACGCACATTAACATCGATTCCATGTGGAACATTTTCTTCTCACATTTGCCATTTTAACATCAAATAGTTTTATTTTAAAGATAATCAAAAATTTGGGGACGACTTCCCTCAATTTATTTCTGAAATATTTAATAATCTGCAACTGTTTCAGATCACAGGCATCCCACTTTAAGATTTTCATCAAGCCTAATTGGCTTGTTGAGCAAGGTCTGCTGATGAAATAGTATTGTCGTCATTCAATAGATTGTTTTTATTGTTTTCGATTTCCGTCATAATAAGTAGACTTGAAAAGATAAAAAAATGAAAATATGATAAAACGTGTTACGAGAATAGAGAAAACGTGTTACACGAGTAGAGAATTATAAATTTTTTTTAATAAATTTGATGTTGTGTTTCGTAATTTTCTATGTTCGATTTTAATCTTTAAATTTTGCATTCATCCATAAATGTTATATATGCTCTAAGACATATATTCAAGAAACAAACATTGGCAAACATACAAAAGCGGAGGGGAAGGTCAGCGCTTCCTTCACAAACAAAACCAATACTTGATTCTTTTAATACCACAAAAGTATCCATGGAACAGTGTTATAGTCAGTTCCAATGTACAAAACAATAAGCAGACCAACAAGGCAAACATTAAATATTGCCGGCATCCGATTCTGTGCTTACGTTATCTTTTCATATATGCTTTACGATGCAGCCGCATGAAGCAACTTTACAAGCAGCAAAAACCCACAAAACTATGCTACTAAAGTACAAGAAAGCTCGACATTATAGTACAACCAAACATCATGTAAAAGAGAACATCCCCCATAAAAGAACCTGCAGTTTAATTCCCAGTGATTATATCGATTTCTCTTCTTTGAATATATTTGCACATTTCTGATGGTTTAGCTACTTTGTAAATTATGATTTTGCTGCCAAATTTAACATCCACTCTTGCCTATATACATTTTATACTATGGGGTTTTGAAGATGTACGTACCAGCAATGTATCAGTAAATATATAGTTCTATTACTATTTCATTTCTTAATTACAGACCAAAGGAAACAAAGAGAGTAGGTTAAGGATCGGATTTCGAATCTTAAAATTTACAGTCTTTTTTCCACATCTCGGGGCTACAGATGAAGAGAAGTATCAACGTCACAAGTCTCAAACTTGTTTGATGTGCTTGAAGTTTCATGAGGCCATAAGCTTGTTGATGATGCCGGGATTGCCATTGCTCTGAAATCGGTTCGCCTACCGTGCGAGCTTAGTCCAAGAGAGAGTGATGAATCCTGATGGGGTTGTTGCCTATATGGTAAATTCTCCGCCGCCGACCTGTTAGGCTCGAATCGCATGTCGGATTCGGATAACAGTTTCAGAAGCTCTTTCCCCTCTCTCTTTTCCCTATTCTTCTGCAGCTGTCTAAACCTTTCTTGCAAAAGAGCAATGGAGGAACTAACGACTGTAGGATCACCACCTTGTCTACCCATTACAGGAAATTAGATATGAAAAGAAGGAGAAGAAGAAGAAAGAGAAGCCTTTTTGTTATATGACAAACTGGTTGATGATTAGATGTATTTATGGGGGATGGTCATTTACTGTTAAACACATTAATGTATGGATTTGTTGTTGGGTTTTTCCAAATGGTATTAGGTGAGAATCGGATGTTGTGAAGCCAAATCCAAGAAGATGAGTTAATGAGGAGGTATAGTTCAAAGAGTTTGTTTAATGGAGGAGAAGTGTGAGATATAAGATTCCAAATGAATTTGGGAAGTAGTATTTGGAAGGATGCTTGGTGAGGGAATAAATGGCTAGGTCATGCAGCTATGTTTTTAAAAGAAACCAATTATATTCACTGCCACGTTTCCTTGCATATTGGTGTATTTTTATCATGAGGAAAAAGACAGCATATCAGAAGGAATAATTTTCAGAGGTAGATGTGATAGCAAATACAGCTGCAGTCAGCAGATGGTTCAATCAAACACCTCAGCCCATTATCATTGCTCAGAAGGTGGTCGGTTTTGATGGATCAGCTCTATTTAAATTTCACTTGATTCGAACATTATTAGGTACATCAGCAACCAACTTGCAGCCATCTCACCCCTAAATAACTGCTGTACACATGGCCTTGCTGATATATATATATATATTATCGATACTATTATTCTTATGTACCTTTTGCTTTGCCCCAAAATGGATATGAAGTGAGGCTCTCAGATAGAATCAGGTTTGATGGTAATCTTCATCCAACCTTTTACTTGATATAGTAAGTTAAGAAATGATGAGTGATGCATGATTTTATGTTAGGATATGAACTTATAGGTACATGTTTTAATAAGTAAGCTGGATTGTATTGTGTTGGTTGTATTCGCGGTCAATGTTAACAGTTATAAAATCAACATAAAACAAATATATTATGAAAAAACTTGTATTCTTAAAAGAGTTCTTGAAGGAATAACTATCAGCAACACCTTGATCACACTTAGACTTGAAATGTTCAGTATTTTCCCCCTGCTTTTTGCTCTAAACAATAAGAAAAACTAAATATACGTACATAAAAGCAAATTTTGCATCAGGGTTCCAGCTTCAGGGAAACAACACGAGACTGTCTGTTGCGCTTTGCAACCTTGAGAAAGACTAATGAAAGGCACGAAGGCACCCACCACGGCCTACGAACTTTTTGCTCTCCTTTTAGACAAGCCACTGAAGAATGCAATTTAAATATGTCAATAACCAAGAAGCATAGAAAATTCTAAGAACGAGTCCCTCTTCTTGTTTGAGCAGACAACAAAAGGATAATAGCTAAGAGCTAATGAAGAATGAAAGCAAGAAAAAAAAGGTTTTCTTGGGAAGCAAATGAATATCATTAAACCATTTGAAAGACGTGGCATGATATACAGTATAGTCAACCTCTCTCGTGTAAACAGGCATCAGAAGATCTAAAACAATTCATATGCAAAAGGCACTGCTGCAACATAACTTGGATACCAGAATTTATTTGACGAGAGTGGGTAAAATATTCATGATTCAATGAAATGGCTTGATGCTCATGCAGCAGAGAAAATATCCCATGTTTTAAACTGCAGAAGAATTGAAGGCATGCTAACAGAACTATGTCTCTTACCACATGAACAATTAGAATAATATTGGGGTGGGGGGGACCTTAAAGATTGAAATAACTTCCAAATTTTGAGAGGCAAAATTTACATATACCTTTTATTCGTCTGAGTTCCTTGCATAGCATGATGAAGTCTCCCCACTTCATATGGCATCGCCTTATAAACCGAAGAATCTGTTCAGTTGTAAACATAGACATGCCTTCCAAGTATTCCCCATTAACACCATTTTCTTTGAAAATTTGGCGATAAGTACCAAGATTTATCTCTTCCAACCACATCCCAACATCCTGCCAGAATAAAAGCATCATGGTACAAGAGCATGTTATTCAAAATGTTTCGATGTCAAACATTAAAAAAAGAACATAATACAAAATCTTCCCCAATGTCTCCGAGATTTTTTGGCTAGATAACATCAAAACTTGGAAAGACATTTGCAGCGTATTTTATTTACCTTGTTACTCAAATTTCTATGTTCCTTTTACAGATCAGTTAGTACTCACAATGGTGGGTCAGATAGCACGATCAATTTCAACGATCTAAAATGAATGGTAATGAAGATGAAGAGAAAAGTTGTGTTTTATTGTTTTCTCCATGTTTATCCTCAAAGTTGCACAACAACAATGAATAACCATCTGATGCACCCCACTGGTATTTACTGTCATCTTCTCAAATAAGTCTTCCAGCATCGTAGACTAAAAAAGTGGCAACTCCGAGTTCCCGACCTTACTAAAAAATCTGCAGGCAGGAAAAGAACTTTTCCTCTTCTTTTTTCTTTCTCTCTTTCATTTCTTCTTTACACTCATTTAATTGAAAACTTGTAGAAAACTGAGGGTACTTTATTAGAAATCCCAAAACAACAAATGCCCGGTTAAGAAGAAAATTGTTATACCGATTCTGCAGGCATCAACACCAGAGACAGAATTTACTTGTAATTATGTTGGATAGTCACAGATATATGAAATTTCAGTCATCCACTAAATCAGCCTCGTGTTGACCTACACGAAGAACTTTTTAATGAGAAAGTTCATCATTGCAGACGAAATGATGAGTGAAGAAAGTTAATCAAATGATTAAGAAGCATAACCAATCTCTGACTTTGCATCTTAACCATTAGAACAACAAAATTTCCATTCTTACTCCTTTATATCCTTCATACCAAGAGCCTAGATTTCTATATACCAAAATGACAACAAAGAAACACTTGATCAAAGGCATGATTTTGATTTGATCATGAGGAAAGGGCAATAAAAGCTGATCACCTTCTTAGGCAATCCAATACCCAATAATCAAAACAGGAAACAATTGTGATAACCATAAACCACCCTTCGTTTCTGACATGATACTTTTTAACAATTTGATCAATGTTGAGTGAAGAAATGTCAGTCAAAATTTCCCATTCCAGTATCAGAACAAAACTATCATACCCAAAAGAACTCAAGATCTGAACTTCACAGCAAAAGAGATATAAATAAGACCAAAAAGAAAATTAAGAGAGAGAGAGAGAGAGAAATACCTCAACGGTCCAAATGAAGAAATCGAGTGGCTCAGGCGGGTGTTCTTTGCTCATCTTTTTCTATTATCTCGACCCAGTTTACCTAGTATATTTACCACCAATTTCTCATCAAAATTTACCGCCAATACAAATGAAAATCAAATTAAAACCCAAAAAAAAACGAGGAGAAGAAAAAGTAACTGGAGAAGAACTGGTTTTGAGGTTAGACTGACAGTTGTTGAGATCCCAACTCTCTCTCCTTTTCTTTCTTATTTAATTTTTCTCGGGAAGCAAACACTATACAATTAAAGAATAAAAAGAACAAAAAAAAGTACCTTTGTGTGCGAGAGAGAGAATTTTTAGAGTTGGATTTTCCTTTTTCCTACATTTGAGATTGAAATTATTTGAGAGAGAGAAAGATACATGAAATGTTGTCCTAATAATAATTAGAGATAATTAAAAAGAATCTCAGTCTAATGAATCAAAAAAATGGTGACATTTAATCATTTTCTGACTTATCCTAAATATTTTGATTAAATTTTATGTTTGTTTTTTCAATTATTTATAAATAAAATGTTTTAATTTTAACAAAAGTGAAACAAAATGTTGTGGGCCATTCCATTCCACTCCATCCTAGTCTAGATTAGGAAAGAAGATTATGATGTAATCAGTAGGGCCCACTAACCCCCAAGATAAAAGAGGTGGATGGTGCTGATGACATCCCAAAAGTCAAACACAGATTTATAAGTCAACGGAAACCGATTCGAAAATGTTCGGGTTCCGGATACGGGTGGTCCACGGTTTATTTTGTGAATTTGAATCAAATCATAATGGTGATGCTTAAATAAATTACTAAATATGGTGAAGTTTTAATTTCCAAACATTTTTATATTTGATTTTCGGATATTTTTATTTTTAAAAAATAGAGATTAATATAATTCTTTTAATTAAATAAATAAAATTTTAAAAAAATTAATCGCGAATAAACTTTATTTGAGTGTTGAATCAAATGCGATTGTTATAGTCTATTGATGGATCATTCCAATTATGTTCTTGATTTTGAAGTCGATTGTTTTCATTTGAGTTTAGTACCAGTAAAAATTAAATAATAAAAGGGAAAAAAAGAACTTTAAAAAAGGAGGTCGGAGATGTTGCATATAAGGAAATTGTAACCTTCGCCGATGAAACCGAGAATTTTGATGAAATCGATGATCATCATAATGATATCATATAATAGGATCATGTTGGTAGATTAATAATAGTTCCTGAATCATAATAAGACTCCTTGAATGCATTTGAAACCAAAACTCTTGCTGCCGTAACTAACCATACTCGGTTCCAATTCATCAGCTGGAACGAGCAAGAGAGTGTTCTTTTCTTCCAGGATTGTAAAAACTGTTCCTCTGCAATATTACATCCTCAAAAACCATCAGGAGTTAATGTTTTGCATTGGCCGAAAACAGTAACCATGCCATGTGTGAAATGTTTGTACAGTCGATCTAAATGTTGTGAAAGAATGGTAAATCAAATTCCAGACTAATCAGCTTTGGCTTCTGATGCACCATGAAGAAGTTCATCTGGAGTTGCAGCCGGGTCTAAATCCCAACATCGATCTGGCAAATCACCGGATTCTCCTTCAAGTAACCAAGCTGGAACCTGGTGTGAAAACCGAAACATCTCTTTCCTCGGGATCCATCTAACGGCATCCTTGTCTGTGTTTCTCTGATACACAGTCTTGAAACCAATCAATTTGACGAGGGGAGTAACCCAAACTCCAACTTCTTCATTGTAATCCTCGAGCACCTCAACCATCTCATATTGGTGCCTCACATCGGTAGTAGTTGACCTGTTCCAATCAGGTGACCAATTCCGATAAACAGCCCAAACATCTCCTCTTTTCGGGAATATGCGAATGCAGCCTCCCCTTCCAGCCCTTTGTCCTCTCAGAAGATGAGAGAAAATGTTAACTTGATCTATTATGTCAGAATTCCATGCCCTGAAGTGTCCACAAGATTTAGTAAACCCAGAATCCACCCAATTCACTGACCCGAATTCATTGTCAGTTTTGGAGTTCAGGTAACTGATGAGAATCTTAAATGGTTTTTTGGAGATAACCTGCCGAATCAAACAATACAAACGAGGCATACCATCATCTTCATCATAAAGGGCCCATATTTGCTTTGGTTTGAAGCATTCCTCCGATCTATATTTGTCAAAATCATGGAAGTCGGAGTCAGGGACTGTAATTGAGACTGATGCACCTTTATTTGATGCTGATTGATCAGCAGAAACAGCTAAATTTGTCCTCTTGAGAACCTTCCCAGCTGCTAGTGATTGACCATCTTCATTAGCTCCTGATTTACCTACTGAAGCTGCAGCAGCTGCCTCCGAAGCCAACTTAATATTTTCCAGTTTCCTCCGGATTTCAGTCCTCGCCTTCTCAATTAACAATTTTCGAGCATCAAATGCCGGAGTCAATATGCATCGCCTATTTGGGGGTTCACTGGAGTTGAAAAGCTTTGGATCAGGCTCTTTCCCATATGCATTTGCTAATCCTGCTTCTGGAGATTCTAATCCTTTGTCTTCAAATCCATTTCTATATCCAGAATCAATAATAACCTTCCTCTTCTTTTCAATGTTACCGGGCTTGGATCCTAAAGATTCATTATAACCATTAAAAAAAATTTGCGTTGACTGAGCGGCAAAGCTTTTTGAGGCTTTTCCATTGGCACCAGATTTCACCTTCGACCCTGCTACTCTAGCCTCTCCATTGCTCTGATAAATGGCATCAGTGGAAATGGCTGATACTCCATTATGACTCACAACCCCGGTAGAAGTTCCAGAGAACGAGCTCCATTGAAATGACATGTTAGGAACATACTCATACCCATGCCCAGAATGATAACCTGAAACCCCATTTCCACTGAAAAAAGTAGCATTTGTTGGGACATACATGACCCCATTTCCATGATTCCCATATCCATTACTTGGCACATATGACCAAGGACAATACGGGAAAGAACCGTTCACAGGGGCTGATCCAGTTTCAACAGCAATGAACGTACCACGGCAGTTCTTACATGAAAGTCTCTTGTTCACATATTTCCGAAGATATTCATACTGAACTTTACATGATGTGCATACAGTCCAGAAAGTATCAAGTCTACTTTGTGAGGTAGCATTAACACATGTTACCCCAGAAGCATATGTTGAAGTTTGAACCACTCCCGAAGCCATCTGTTTGTTTCTCTTGATATCATGTGAATTTTTCTTGATTCTATTCGACAGCAAAGTCCAAGCCTCGGATACAAGTTTGAATGCCCCATCAGCTCCCACACATTTATTCTTATCAGGATGGAGTAACACAGCTAACTTTCTGTACTGTTTCTTCACTGCCTCTCTGTCTGCTGAAGGCTTCAACCCAAGAATTGAATAATAATCGGTTTCACCCATACATTTAGCCTCAGAGGCAACATACACTTCGAATGTGGATACCATCTGCGATATACCTTCCAATTCAGGATACAGTGATTTAGCCTTTAAGGCATAGGTCTTAGCACCTTCAAAGTCTCTTTCACAAAATCGCTTCTCAGCGGTCTCTTTCGCTTTAAGGGCTTCCTCTTTGTTGGCGTCCATTCAGAAAATTTAGGCAAACTTCAAAACCAAACTCTCGAAATTAATGTTGTCATATGTCTCCCAACATGCTTAACCTTAAAAAAGACTGAATTGACATATTCAACCATTTCATCTTTTCTGCATATGTTCAACAGGACAACTATTAGATATTTCCCAAAATCAAGCATCGTTTCCCCGAGTAAAACACTAATTCATCAAATCATGAAACTTTCAAACATCCTTAATTAACCCTAAATACTTATCTGTGGATTCAGGGCAACTCTTTCAGCTCTATTTGCATTCGGAGAAACCACATAGAGGCGAGAGAAAGATGAAATTTTAAGCTAAATCTATTAAAATTAACCACATACAAACATTATGGAGCGTTATTGGGTAGTAACTTATCTTAGAACCAAAAACAATGTAAACCTTGGAGGTTAATTTCCTTTCTTTTCCCGTCAATTCCACAATTAAAAGAAACCCATTCGAACCAAAAAAAAAAAAGAGTTAAATTTGCAGAACTCGAAAACCCAGATCACAGTAATTTCAAAGCTAAATGACAAAAAATCAAACGGATCCAAGATCAGCAGGTCAAATAATAACTACTAAATAGTCAAGGATTTCTACAAATTTAAAGTGTTTACAAGTAAACATTTCCACATAAACGATACTTGGGAATAAAAATGAACTCACCTATATTTGAGAAGTGAAGCAAGACACAGATCGCCACGTGCCTTTTACAGCTTGCAAAAATCAAGATTATGAGCTAATTTTTGAATCTCTGTACCGATAAAACGGGAAACAAAAAATCAGAAATCTTTTTTCTATATTTGTGTTGTAGGGGAGCTCACTTAACTAAGCGAAGGGAACAAATGAGGGATTCAAGTAATTGAAATCGGCGGCGAGGAATAGGGATTCCGTCGATCGCCGATTAGTAAAATGGGATGGGATAGAATTAATATTATTATTAATAAAATAAAAATGATAATTTTCATGAAAAGTAAACGATGTTAATAGTATTTAATGGTGTGTGCTATTACAGTCTGTATTTATTATTTATGTTTATTTTTAATATAAAATTATACTTTTTATCAAAGAAAAAAAGACATAACTAATTATTGTAATATTAGCAATAATGGAAATTACTATTTATTTTATCTACATTTTCACACAAAAGTAACGATAATATTTTTTAAAAAAAAGAAAAAGGATGTAATTAAAGTGCTATACTAATTATGATATAGATTATTAGTGGTAATAGGAAATTACAATTTATTTTATATACATTTTCATATGAAAATAAATTATATATTTCATTAAAAGAAATTAATATAATTAAGGTGTGTGGTAATGATGAAATGGTTGGTGTTTGGTAGGTAGAAATTGTACAATTTTGCAATATGAAATAGTTTTCTTTTTTCAGATATATGTTTGTTTATTTAAAGTAATAAATAATTCCATTGCAAGGGGCGAAAGGTAAACTCATTTCTTTTGTAAAGCAAAATAATATTCCTTTGTCTCATACGTAGCTTGCTATCATTTCAATTTTTATTTTTATTTTTTTCATTATGAATAAGGCATAACCGTATAAGTGGAAAAAAAGAGTTATAATTGTCATCGTGTGATAATGTTTGATGGAATTGTGTGATTTAAATTTTATTTCATCTGGTTTAAAGAATTTGTAATGTAATTTTTTTATCAAGATGGAGATTGTACGAACCTATTGAATCCATATAAAACTATACTTCAACAGTTGGACGTTGGTTAAGAGTAGGAAACTCAGTTTGAACAGATTTTTTTAATGTAAATTTCATTCATATTCAAATGTTTATCTTTATAAATGGATATTAAAGATTATACGTGAGTTGATCAACCCCTAAATGGTGTATAGTCGCAATCCTCTTATAATCTATTTTATGATAAGATAACCAGAACAATAAGATGTATCTCAGTTCCAAGACTTGTAATATGTGTCAACATTGTATCTTTAGTGCACAACTCGAGTGATCCAAGCACAGCAATACAACAAAATGTTTTCCTTTGTTCTGTGGTAATTCACTATGTTATTTTTTCTTTCCTTCACAACACATCAGTATTGCATAACAGGGTTAATCCTCATAGATCAATATGCACAACATTTTGTACCTGTAGTAGTTGACCGCTATAGAGAAGACTACCAGATACTTCTCTCTTCAATGCTTAGCCTCTTGAAAAGTCCACGTTGATGATCAATAAACTGCAAATATATGTCCCTTAACTCCTTAGCTTTATTGTATTCCTCTGTCCCATAACAAACAACCTTCAATTCACTGTTAAAACCAGCACCACTTCTGTTGGGTAATTTGTTCTGTAAAGTGTAAAAGCTTGGAAGTGTTAAAAGAAATTGAGATCTAAATGCTGGCAAGATTCGGGTTTAATGGGGCAATCATGACCACCTTTGAACCTATTCTCATTAAATTAGAATTAATTCACTTGCACAGGATTGACCCCAAAAACAATGTCATCTGTATGGGACTTACCGGAGATTCAAGCATCAAAGCCCAGTGAACGTTCATTAATTTTTTTTTCGGTGGCCACCCATGGCCTGCAGGCAGTAAAATGAAAGGATGTTCTCAGAGCAAATCTTAAGGTATGAAATTGTAATGGTACAAAGGCAACACAACCATGCATATGTCATCACTTACCTCCCATTCAAGGATACAATGAAATGATCGGGATTCTGCAAAAAAACAAACAACCGTTCAAGATCTTTCTGGCAATCCAACATGATGATACCATTGGTGTATGGCTCCCACGGCAGACTTGGGAAAATGTACTCGTGCTGCAATCCAACATGATGAATTTATGCTTTGATTATGAGTAATTATATTATACGAAAATTTAATTTAAAGTTAATTTAAGATGAATTTTAATTTTAAATATTATCTTATTTAATTTTAAAAGTTATACAATTTGTAATATTTTTAGCTGGCAAAAATGCCAGAATAATGCATGTGGGGAATATTTTTTCCCCAACTAATGCCCTTTGCCTATTATTTCCCCAAATGGGGTGAAATATACAGTGCTTAATGTGGTTCTTTGGAAAGCTCGGCGTCTTTAGGGTTAATTTTCCATGATTGCTTTCTCGGCGTCTTTAGGGTTATGAAACTATGGGAATGCTCGGCGTCTTCAAGCAATTTGCCTGTGGGATATCTCGGCGTCTTCTGCATGCTACAAGGAATGCCAAGGTGGATCTCTCGGCGTCTTCACCTGTCGTCTGATGGGAATGCTCGTGCATGCATTCTGGGGCTGAACGTCTTCATCTCTGCATGCATGCAGAGTTGATTTAACAGTTGAATATAATAATAGGAGTGCTCGGCGTCTTTAGTTAATAGGGTTACAGGGGCGTTTGATTTCCCGGCGTCTTAAGCTATACATGGAGAATATTTGGTTGCAGGTGGTCGTGATATCTCGGCGTCTTCTTCTTCCGAGATTCGTTCTGCATGCGCCTGTCTTCTTTGTGTCCGAAGCGTGAGATTCGTCTGAAACGTGAGATTCGTCTGAAGCAAGTTGGTTTACTCGAAGTCTTCAATTACTTGTTATAAAAGAGGGGTGGGTATTGTATTTCATTGCATGCAGTTTGTTGTAACTTACAGAAGCAAGTGAGGGATTTTTTTTTTGCATTAGATTCAATTGAAGCTGCTGCTTGAAGTGATATTGGAGATTTTTGTTGGTTCGGTAATTTTTCGAGCTTTGGTTTAACGTCGTTCAAAAACACGTAAGTTCTTTCTCGTTTCCCATGCGAACTCTGTTTTTTTCGTGTTGAAAGAATGCTCATATATGTTAGGAGAATGATACATTTAAATTTTGTTCACGAGACCATAGTAATGTAATTTAGAGTACTAATGATAATTTAAAATTAGAAAATGTAAGTTTGATGATTAGGTATACAGAAAATTTAAGTTTGAGTATTATTGTTAATTTAAATTTTCGTGTAATTTTTAGTTGTATTTTTATATAATAATTATTAGAATTTTTATTTTGATTTAGTGGGAAAAAAATTCCCATTATGTAATCCTGATATTTTTACCGTAATAATAATGTATTTAAGTATTATTTTTATAAAACAATTGTTAACATAATTTATATTTATTATTTATAGTTTTGTAAATAATTAATTTTCATTACATTATTAATGTAATTTATTCTGAATATCTATATTTTTACGTGTAGAGAAATGAGCAACAAATTTTTCACGATTGTCCATTACAATGGACATATGATGGAAAATGAGGTCGGAGTTATTTTTCAGTCTGAAACACCTATAAATATGATGTTTAAAAGGGACATCACATTTGCAGAGATCAAGGAGAGGATAGAAAGAAAAATACGTGCTAAAGTTGATGGTTTGAGGTACAGATTTATGGTATGTCCCAATCCGGTCAGGTATGCTGCAGTACCACTTGAAGAAGACGATGATATTATAACTATGGTTGAATTACATGACTCAACAAATATTCCAATTATTGAGTTATTTGTTGAGTTGTGTAATATATCTAATGTGCCTGGGTCATCAATAAATGCGGTTGAAACTTCATCTCAAATGGGTTTCGAGAGTCATTTCGATAACCCAACATATAGGTCGATGAACAGCTTTGTGGCGATGTTGGAAAGCGCAAATGAAGTTGGTGGAACATCTGGAGCCGCAGAGTATGATGCTGAAAACCGCTGGGAAGAAATACTTGAAGATTCCAGTGAAGATGAAGAAACTGAGGAACCTCTTTTGGCTGAGGATGATGCCATGTTCCATGGTGATGAAGCTGATATCAATATTGATGAATATTCGACATCGTATGAACCTACCCCTCACATGCAGGAGATTGATTATGAAGCAATGAGGGCACCTGAATTCCCGGAGATGCCACATTTAACTTCAGGCTATATTAATTTTATATATACCTCAACTTTGCATTTGATGTCAATCTTAAACCTAAACTCTTTCACGTTGTTGTGCGCCAACCCCGTTCTTTCTATTTTATGCCTCCATCTGTATACCAATCAAAATAAAATTTTGTAATTATTTTTCATTTACAAAATATTTTTTATTTAATTAAAGATAAAATATTTTAAATCAATAAAATTACCTTCCGGCAAGAGGAAAGTCAACTGCAGTTCGGCTAATCGGTGTTAACCATGGAATTCTGTACCACGCCCACGATTGTAATAACATCGTGCATCCGCCGATTTCAGTCGTGTACGCATCATTAACAATTAATGATGCCTTGCACATCTCGCGATACAAGAATGCCAATATTGCTGATCCCCAACTATATTGACGGGTCATAAAGAAGTTCTCCAAAAACGGAAGATATTGTATATGGACAAGATTACTAGATTTATCTGGCATCAAGATTCCGCCGATCAAACGTAATATATATGCTCGAGTTGCATATATAATGTCTCGCTCACTACATTGTGGATCGAGCTTAAACTCATTTGCCAACCAGGATAATCTCAGCCGTGACCCTTTTGCTACATCTTTGTCTGGTACCTTCCCAAGGTAACGCTCACATATTGCAAACATGTCAAGATCTGTATTTCCAACCACTGCCATTCCATTTGTAGGAACCCCTAGTTGTAAAGCCACATCCTCCAAAGTGATCGTACATTCACCACATGGAAGATGAAAAGTATGAGTTTCTGGTCTCCACCTTTCAATTAATGCACTTATCAAACCGGGGATCAACCGAAATTCTCTTACAAAAGCAACATCATAAAAACCCACTGTTTTCAAATTATCAACAATACGTTGATCTGGCATCTCACAGTTGATAAGTCGAGGACGAAGGACTCGTTGTTCGTCATCCTGCAATTTAGTAGTCATTGTAATTAGAATTAATACACCGTTCTCAAATAAAAAAAATAAGTCAATCATATTACCAGTTCTCCCAAATTACTCGAAATGTGTCGACCATCTAGCCTCAAAAGAACATTTTCTTCGGCCATGTTTCAACAAATCTA